TTTTTCTTATTGGCTAAGACCTTCAATAAAATCATCATGATTTTAAAGGGAATGCTTTTACCATTTTCTTGTTTTGGATAATGTTTACTCAGGTTTTTATTTTTATTTTTTAAAATATTCTTTTTCAAGTAAGGGCATTCTGTTACTAATTTAGTTGAGTGTCTTTATTATGAAAATTTTTCAAATGCTTTTTCTGTACTTATTGTAATGATCATGTTTATTTTCTCTCTTTTAATAGATTAGTGCAGTCATGTTAATGATTTTTCTAAATATTATATCATCCTTCATATCTGGTATAAGCCCAGTTGATCATGATATATTCTCTGTTTATATACTGTCAGATTTATTATTTGTTTAGTGTTTTGCATTTGTATTTATGAATGAAATGGGCCTTAATTTTCTTTTCTCATAATGGCTTTGATTAGGTTTAGTATTAGGGGTTTGCTGGCTTCATGGAATGAATTGGAACTTCCTCTTTTTTTAATTGTTCCAAAGAATTTGTATAAAATTTAGATGATCTTTTTCTTCAAATTTTGATAGAATTGGCCTGTACAGCCAATTCTGGGCCTTTACAGTCAATTCTGGGCCTGGTATTTTCTTTGTAAGTATATATGTAACTACTGGTTCAACTTAATAGTTAAAAGACCACTTATTTCTTGACTTGGTTTTGATAAGATTTTAAAAAAATTTCTCTGTTTTAGCTTAAATTTACAAAATTGTTTCATATGGTTATTAGTATTCCCTTATCCTTTTTAACCTTTTTTTTTTTTAAAGATTTTATTTATTTATTTGAGAGAGAGAGAGAGAGCATGAGCAAGGGGAGGGGCAGAGGGAGAAGCAGACTCTCTGCTGAGCAGGGAGCCCAATGCTGGGCTCCATCCTGGGACTCTAGGATCATGACCTGAGCCGACGGCCTTTGCTTAAACAACTGAGCTGCCCAGGCGCCCAACTTTTTTTTTTTTATAGTTGTATTCCTGACTCCTAGAATTCTGACTTGCATATTTGTGTGATAGAGGTTTCATATATCCATTAATCTATCACCTTTTATTGTTTCATATGTGCGTTAGGGTAGAATCCAGCTGATCTTGTTTCTGTTTTCAGCCATCTTCAATCCTTCCTGTAAATTGTCAGACTGAATCTTTCATAATAAAAAACCCTATTTTTATTATGTTATTTCCCTATTAAAAATCTTTTGCTCCTAGGGCAAACTACTAATTGCTCAGTGATTTTCAAGGTAGCAAATGATGCCATACCCTGACCACAACCACACTAATACAAACCAGTATGCACATTGTCTCTTGAACATACCATGCAAATTTGTTCCTTTGTTCATACCCTCTCGCTTCCCTGAATGAATTTCCTTCTCTATTCCCTAGGTCCTGTCAAACTTTCAAAGTTCTGTTAAAAATTTTACATTCATAGGGGCGCCTGGGTGGCTCAGTCGTTGAGCATCTGCCTTCGGCTCAGGTCATGATCTCAGGATCCTGGGATCAAGCCCCGCATCGGGCTCCCTGCTCAGCGGGAAGCCTGCTTCTCTCTCTCCCACTCCCCCTGCTTGTATTCCTTCTCTCGCTGTCTCTTTCTCTGTCATATAAATAAATAAATAAATCTTAATTTTTTTTTTTTTTACATTCATAGAGAAACCTCTGATACTTCAGTTAAAGATGATTCCTTCCTTCATCATTTTGGTTTTTTATTCATCTCTTTCATGTATGGATTTTTTTCTAAATTTTTCACAGGCAGGGCATTTATTGTATACTTTGTTTTGTTTTGTGTTTATTTTATTTTATTTTTTTAATATTTTATTTATTTATTCATGAGAATCAGAGAGAGAGGCAGAGGGAGAGGGAGAAGCAGGCTCCCCGCCTAGCAGGAAGCCCGATGCGGGACTCGATCCCGGGACCCTGGGATCATGACCTGAGCCGAAGGCAGACGCTTAACCATCTGAGCCACCCAGGCGCCCCATTTTAGAGTCACCTTCCCTTTAGGAACCCACAGTTTCATTCTCAACCTTTTTTTCCTTTGAGTATAAATAAATAATGAAAACTTTATTTTATAGCTACAACTCAGTGAAAATTGACTGTAATTTATAATGCAGTACTTTAAACTGCTTTAGGAGCATTCCTCTGAACACCCACCATATTCTTTAATATAAACTATGAAAAGAAGTTATTCTCTAGTCCAGAGGTTATAAGTCAAATGGCTGCAGTATCAGGTTGGCAACATGCATGCATGCATGAATCTGGTTGTGTGTAAGAAATAGGGAGTGAAGAGCCTGGATGAACTAAAGAATATATTCTCTCAAAGGAATTCAAACCAAATTCTTAAGGGCCTGGGCCAGCCCTATCTGTGATCTCTTACTCTAGCCACCTTTTCCTGTTAAACTCTACTACCCTTTTTGAAAATGTGTTGCAAGCCGAGCATATAATAGAATACTCAGGATAAATTAAAGATTTAAAAAGTTGGGAACTACAAAATAATGTATGCTACAGTGAATTTTTGTGACATGAACTAAAAAAGTTCTGCCAAATAGATGTCTGTAAGGTGATTTTTATGTGAGTTTCGTGAGATAAAAGACCTCTCTAACTCTCTCGTTCACTGTGCATCCCACACACCACAATGTCTGGCACACTGCAGGTGCTTAGTAAATACTTGAATGACTATATGGAGGTACCCTTTTTAAGGTCTTTTTTCTTTTCCTTTTTTTAAAGATTTTATTTATTTATTTGACAGAGAGAGACAGAGTGATAGGGAACACAAGCAGGGGGAGTGGGAGAGGGAGAAGCAGGCTTACCGCGGAGCAGGGAGCCCGATGCAGGGCTCCATCCCAGGACCCTGGGATCATGACCTGAGCCGAAGGCAGATGCTTAATGACTGAGCCACCCAGGCGCCCCTAAGGTCTTTTTTCTTTTGGCAATTCTATGCTATATGTAGCATAACCACTTGGTGGTGCTAAACTCATTTCTAAACCTGGAAAGGTATTTTTATATTCATGCACACCATGATTGCTATTCTTCATACACACACAAAATAAGTTGTAATAAATCATGGACAGTATGAATCATTATTAACATTGAAGGAGAAATAGTAATGACAGGATATTTGTCTTTTTTTAAAAAAAATTAAAGTTGATTATACAAAAACTGCATGTTTAATGTATATAACTTGATGACTTTGGAAGGCGTTTTTTTTTTCTAATTCTTTAAAAAAGTTTTCTAAAGTGATGGATTACAGATTTGAAGTCCTTAGGTCATAGGAATGTTTGAGAGTATTCTCTGCCATAGCCTCAGCATCTAGCCTGGCACTGCATACATAGTGTGTCCTTAATGTGTGAATTTGAAAGAACGTGTGAATGAGTATAAATTTTAACTTCATCTAACTTAACTCCTACCAACCCATTCCCAGATAATTTTATCCTAGATAATTTTGGTCCAAGATAAGGAGGCACTGAGTGTTACAAAGTTTTAGTTAACCACCTTTATGAAGTCTCCTTTAGTCATTGAAATTTTTTCTCCAAATTTACTAAAGAACTGTGATTCAGAGAAAAATACATATTAAAAGAAATCAGCAATATTAATTGGATTCTAGACTTCCTATTACTTTTCTCTAATTTGTCAATTATAAGATAGTTTTGAGTACAAGATAGTTATCAGAGAAGACTATCAGAAGTGTGGTGGTATCATTATATTTATTTGAGAACTGGGTGTAAGAGAATGTTTCCTAGTAGAGAAAGCAGTGTTATCAAGGAATTTTTCAAATATACTGCAGCAAACGATGTAAGATCTAGTGGATTTCACAAGACGTCCGAAGCCTCTGGCAACACAATAAGTAGAGGAATATAAGAATTAAAGACAGAAGATAATTGAAAATTTTTCTTCTGAAATCCAGCAGGATATAAATAGTTTGCTAAATTGTAAAATCATAAGTGAATTAGCATTTTGGAAAGACTTTAATTAGAAAATAGTATTTAATTATAATGTAGTAACAAAATAGAGCAATAGGACTAAACTGTATTTTTAAAAATCATTCACCAAATTTAGTTCAACTTTATAATTAACGTTGCTGGTATTCACACTGCTCATCTGAGGTGTGACTATATAGGGGCTATAGGAAATATGGAAGAAGCCCTTGTCCACAGTAGGTTATAATCTTGTTAGACCACATATATGTACAGAGCCAGCCTAACATGGTGGCTAAATGCACAAATTCTAGAACGAGACTATCTGCCTGTTGCTTAGCTCTGTGCCATTGGGGCAAGTTACTTAACCTCTTTGTGCCTTAGCTTCCATGAATGTAAAATGGGGATAATAATATTACTCCTTCATAGGTTGTTGAGAGAATTAAAAGAATTAATACATGTGAGGTGCCTAGAAAAGTAACTGGCACATAGTAAGTGCTATCTAAATGTTTTTTCACTCTAAAATGTAAGGTCCACATAATTTGTTAAATAAATAGTTAACAACTAGATGACAGCAGTGTAAAGACTATCTGACTGAGGTGAAAAAATGTGTGGACAGTATATATCCTTTTTAGGAACTTGAAGGTAGAAACTAATAGCAGTTGTTGGATAATTTCTCTAAAAGCCACCTAGGTGAGTTGGAGCTTGTGCTGAATACCGAAATATGGGTTAAATTTGGATAGGCAGAAGTGAATTTAGGAAGAAGTGTGAATAGGAGGGGGGACAAGTTCTCTTGATTTAATCAGCTGTGTTTAGATCAGGAAAGATTGGTCTTATTACCCTAACTGGATTGGTTTCACTGATGTTATGAGTTTATTTAATTTATTTGGTTTCCTAGAATCCTCAACTCCAGAATTGCAGCAAATTCCTGAAAATACATTAGGATGGAATTAAGCACGTTTATTATGTTTATGTTAAGACTATATGAAATACATTTTGAAAACTGTTAACATTATTCATATTTTGGAGGGCATTGTCATCAGTTAAAAGCTGCTTTTTTAAAAAAATAAATTGATAATATTTTTGCTTTTATGTTTTATAGGTAATTAACAATGCTTGTGCTACCCAAGCCATAGTAAGTGTGTTATTGAACTGTACCCATCAAGATGTCCATTTGGGAGAGACATTATCAGAGTTTAAGGAATTTTCACAAAGTTTTGATGCAGCTGTGAGTATAATCTTATTATTCCTAAAATGCCCTATTTGTGATAGTTCTCTTTTTAATAGGCTACTTTAACAATTATTTTAGATGAAAGGTTTGGCACTGAGCAATTCAGATGTGATTCGACAAGTACACAACAGTTTTGCCAGGTAAAGAGACTTTTTGTTAAATAAACACTTTCTGTTTTGCTTGTTTGTCTCTCACTATTTTTTTTTCTTCACTGTAGACAGCAAATGTTTGAATTTGATGCAAAGACATCAGCAAAAGAAGAAGATGCTTTTCACTTTGTCAGTTATGTTCCTGTAAATGGAAGATTGTATGAATTAGATGGATTAAGAGAAGGACCGATTGATTTAGGTAATCTGGTTCCTGTTCCTGCTATTTCACTTTTGACAAGGAAAAAAGATTGGGTATTCTCCTTTGTTTTTGCCACAATGCTGCTTAGGTTTTTGAAGGGGAAGGTGACTATGAGGTATAATGTCATGAAAAGTCTTAAGCTTTTCATTACTTTATGAGGTCAAATAACATAGGAAGGACATGTTAACTACTATGGTTCAACTGGGATCTTTAATTTTCTTCTAAGAAAATTTCTTTAACCCATAGATTACATAATTTATTTATTTTTATTTTCCAGTTAACTTTAAAAAGCTGATTTTTATAGTGAATGTAAGTTATTCTTGTCATTTTTAACCTACTGATAAGGGGTAGCCATCTTGCATTAAAATATTTTCACTTAGAATTGGATCATTCAGAATCACTTTAATTCAGTGTTTAACAATCTCCAAGAAGTGTTTTTCTTTGAGGTTTCTGTTTAAATAGTGGATTAATATGCTGTCCTTTGGGCCAAAGGGTAGATTTGTCCCAATCCCACCCATCTCTAACCTTAAGCAAAAATGATAAATGGTTAGCAAGGTTGAGGATATAATTGGTGGTTCTGATATAGTACTAAAATCATAGACCCACAAAGAATTTTAACTCCTTATTTTTACCTCATTAAGTTTCCTTTTTTCAAAAATTAGGTTCATTTTTAAGTCCAACGAAACCTGTTTTTATTGAACCTAATGTTATCTGCTGTTCATAAAACTTTATAGTTTTTTTTAGATTAAAAAATGAACATTGGTTCATTTTGTTTGTACTTTTTGACCATGTCCCCTGCATAGAACCAATAATTTGTCTAATGCAGATTTACGTGTTACCTCTATGTTTAAAAATATTTATTTTTCTATGTCACAAAAAATTAATAGAATGTTCTTTAAATTCTCTTGAAGTTTTTTGTAGTTTGATGGTTGAGCTGATCTCTGCATTTTCTCTGTTGGCTTCTATCTGGTCACTTATTCTATATTCGTTAGAACCATCAAACACAAAGGACGTAAAAGATAAAGTAGAACAGCCAGTTTTGCTATACAGCTGGTGGCTATGTTAAAAATTATGGTGAAAAAGAGGATTAAAACAACTGGGTAAAATTGGTTTTGCATTATATGTAGTTTTAGTTTTTTATTTTATAGTTATGATTGTAGGGAGTCAGACGGGTAAGGATTGAATCCTTATTTGCTACTGACTTGCGCTGATTTTTCTTACCCCTCAGTTTTATTACTGTAAAATGGTAGTTATTCTTATTTCACAAAGTTGTGGATTGTAATGGGATCACTCCCTAATTAGTTACTTTCCCAGACATTTGTTCAATACCTACTAAGTGACACAATAATGTGGTAATGCAAATTACACTAATGCTTTTTGCCTTACCTTTACTCCGAAACTAAGAATTGAAGCTTAACATTGTTATGCTGAAAGGATTTTTACCATCCTGAATTTCCCAAAATGTTTATAAAACGATATTTGAGACTAACTTTTGAAATAATTTTAATGTTGATTTTATTTGATTTAATTGCTTTGATGTTTCTTTCTAGGTGCATGCAATCAAGATGACTGGATCAGCGCAGTGAGGCCAGTCATAGAAAAAAGGATACAAAAGTAAATGCTCAGCTATTCTCACTGGCATAGTATTCTGGTTTTTAAACATTTTTTTCAACTTTTATTTTATTATTATTTTAGCAGTGCTTGTTGAACATCTACTTTTGATTGGATTAATATGTTCAGGAAATCTATTTCAGAAATATTTAAATTCTACATAGTAATACGTCCTCTAAAGTTAAACATGCAGATCTCCATTAGATATTTTATATAGTTGTTTTGTAGAGTTGTTTTTAAGCATCTTTTTTATTAAATTAAAACTCTTATTTTGAGATAATTATATATTCACATTCAGTTATAAAGATAATACAGAGAGATCCCGTGTACCCTTTACCCAGCACTGGTAACATCTTATCGAACTAGAGTACATTATCAACAGCCAGGATGTTGCCATCGATACAGTCAAGGTACAGAATGATTTCATTAGCACAAGGATTCCCTCATGTTGCCCTTTTAGAGCCACAACCACTTCCTTCCTCTGTTGCCATTCTCCCCTCCCATCTGTAATCCCTAGTTTTATAATTTTTGTCAGTTAAAGAATGTTGTGTAAATGGAAACATACAATATGTAACCTTTTTGGATTGGCTTCTTTCACTCAGAATAATTTTCTGTAGATTTATCCGGGTCATTAAGTACATAAGTGCTTCATTCATTTCTAATGATGGTTGCTAGTGTACGGTATGGGTAGGATCTTTTTTTTTTTTTTTGCCCATTTACCCATTGAAGGACATATGGATTGCTTCTAGTTTTTGGCTGTGATGAATAAAGCAGCAAGAAACATTTGTGTACACATTTTTGTGTGAACATAAGTTTTCATTTCTCTGGGATAAATGCCCAGGAGTGCCACTGCTGAGTTGTAAATGGATGTTTAGTTTTCTAAGAAACTGCCAGACTGTTCCAAAGTGGCTGTACATTTTACATTCCTACTAGCATGTATGAGCGATCCAGTTTTTCCACATCCTTGCTAGCATTTGGTTTTGTCAAAATTTTTTATTTTAGCCATTCTAGTAGGTGGGTAGTGATATTTCATTATTGTTTTAATCTGCATTTCCCTGATGACTAATTATGTTGAAAATCTTTTCATGCCTTTTGCCTGTTTTGTAAGTGGATTGTTTTTTGACTGTTGAGCCTTGAGTTTCCTTACATACTCTAGATAGTACTAGTTCTTCATCAGACACGTTGCCTGCAAATACTATCTCCCAGTCTGAAGCCTATCTCCTAATTCTCCCAATACAGTCTTTCACAGAGCAAAAGCTCTTAATCCCAATGAAATCTAATTTATCAATCTTTTCCACTATGAATTGTTTTTTGTTGTCAAATCTAAGAATTCTTTGTCTAGTCCTAGATCCTAAAGATTTTGTATTTTTTCCTAAAAAGTTTATATTTTAACATTTCGCATTTAAGTCTGTGATCCATTTTGAGTTCATTTTTGTACATATTGTGAAGTTAAGTCAAAGGTCATTTTGTTGCCTATGCATGTCCGTTTGCTCTAGCACCCTTTGTTGAAAAGGCTATCCTTCCTCTAGCAATTTGGTAGAATTATAAAAAAACAGTTGGGTGTATTTCTGTGAGTCTATTTCTGGGTTCACTACTCTGTTCTGTTGACCTGTTTGTCTGCTCTCTGCCAATCCTGCACAGTCTTGATTACTGTAGCTGTATTGTAAGTCTTGAAATCAGATAAACTGATACCCACAACTTTATTCTTTTTCATCAAAATTGTTTTAGCTTTTATAGTTCCTCTGTCTTTCCATATAAATTTTAGTATAATAATCCCATATAAATTTTAGTATAATCTTTTATATCCACAAAAATTCTTGCTGGGATTTTGATAGGAATTGTGTCAAACATTTATATCCATTTGGGGAGAATTGGCATCTTTACTATGATGAGTCTTCCTGTCCATGAACATGGTATGTCTCTCTATTTACTTTGATCTTCTCTAATTTCTTTCATCAGCATTTTGTACTTTTTAGCATACAGGTCCTGTACATGTTTTGTCAGATTTATACCCACATATTTTATTAGTCTTTTGAGTGATTATGAATGATACTGTATTTTCATATTTGATTTATTTGATTGTTAGTCTGTAGAAACACAGTTGATTGTTTTCTTTCTTTTTCTTGCATCCTTTAACCTTGCTGCACTCATGCACCAGCTTTAGAAGTTATTTGTGAGTTCCTTGGCATTTTCTCCATAATCATGTCATTTGCAAATAGGGACAGTTTTGGATTTGTTTACTTCTAATTTCAGTTTTAATCAGTTTTTACTTTACATATGTTGCAGGTCTATTGTTTGGTGCATAAACTAAACATTTATCACTATTTCTTCTTAGTGGATTGATCTTTTTATCATTATGTCATGTCCTTCTCTAGTAATTTTCTTTGTTTTGAAATTTAGTTTATCTCATAGTAATATAGCCAGTCCTGCTTTCTTTTTTCTTTCTTTCTTTCTTTTTTTTTAAGGTTTTATTTATTTATTTGACAGAGAGAGACACAGCGAGAGAGGGAACACAAGCGGGGGGAGTGGGAGAGGGAGAAGCAGGCTTCCCGCGGAGCAGGGAGCCCAATGTGGGGCTCGATCCCAGGACCCTGGGATCATGACGTGAGCCGAAGGCAGACGCTTAACAACTGAGCCACCCAGGCACCCCAGTCCTACTTTCTTTTGATTTAGTGTTTTCATTCAAGTTGAGATTTTCATCATTTTTAATATGACAAATGATTATAGATTGAAACCTGGACATTTGTGGTTTTATATAATATGACACTGGATTTTTTTAAATAAAATTTCTGTTAAGCTGGTTTATATGAGCACTGCTCTGGCTGGGTAAATCAGGATGCTACCTCATTACTGCCAGGTGAGAGTAGAAGTTCAGATTCCCCACTCTGCTTCCATTGACATCTGAGATGGGAAGAGGTTCCCTGTTATTGCTGGGCAGGGGTGGGAGTTCTGGCCCCCAAAAGGGTGTCCACTTGATACTACCCTGGCTGGAAGGAGTAGGAATGCCTTGTTACTCCTTACTACATGGCTTCACTGTCGCTGAAGTGGGGGAGGCTTCTTTACCACCGTATGGTAGTGACTTCCCACTTGGCTTCCCATTTAGTCTCTTCTAGACACTGCAAATAGGTGTCATTACTGCCCACAGGGATGAAAGTCCTATCTCCCTACTCAGTCTTTGCTGGTGGGTAGAGTTAGGGCACAGTGTTTTTTCAGTTGTGTTTACCTATGGTAGAGTGGTAATTGTCTAAAGGTTTTCTGTTTCATGAGTCGCCCCTTTCCTATTTGGAAAGAAGGAGCAGACTTTTGTTGGTGCTTTTTTTGTCTGTGCCTGTTGGCGTTTCTTAGTTGCTGGCTTCTTTAATTCCAAGTCTAGGCTATATGAAGGCAAATGAGATAACTCAAGGAGTTCACCACTGTGTCATTTTTGGGTCCTGGTTCCCTAGCTTGTCTGCCTTCTCTCCACCTTTCAGAATTTTCGTTCATCCTTTCATTTTCTTTTAAAAAATATATATTATGTCTAGTGTTTTTATTTGGTGTTTCTTAGTGAGAGAAATAAGGAAATGGAAGTTCCATTTTATTTTTATTTTATTTTTTTATTTTATTTTTCTAAATTTAAATTCATTTAACATATAATGTGTTAATTGTTTCAGGAGTACAGGTCTGTGATTCATCAGTCTTATATAATACCCAGTGCTCATTATAACACATACCCTCCCCATTGTCCATCCCAGTTACCCCATCCCTCCACCCCCTCCCCTCCAGCAACGCTGTTTGTTTCCTATGATTAAGAGTCTCTTATGGTTTGTCTCCCTCTCTGGTTTCATCTTGTTTCATTTTGTCCTCTCTTCCCCTATGATCCTCTGTCTTGTTTCTTAAATTCCACATACCAGCGAGATCATATGATAATTGTCCACAGCAGAGTTTTATTTTTTTTATTTTTTTATTTTTTTTTAAAGATTTTATTTATTTGTTTGACAGAGAGAGACACAGCGAGAGAGGGAACACAAGCAGGGGGAGTGGGAGAGGGAGAAGCAGGCTTCCCTCTGAGCAAGGAGCCCGATGGGGGGCTTAATCTCAGGACCCTGGGATCATGACCTGAGCCGAAGGCAGATGCTTAATGATTGAGCCACCCACGCGCCCCCACAGCAGAGTTTTAAAAACAACATTTTTACATAGTTCAAAGCACTGTAGTTAATATTGCTCCATATTCTTTCAGTGAATAGAAATATGTATGAGAAACTGTTATAAGTGAATAATGAAAAAACAGGCTTACATTTTCTATATATTCTCATCTTGATTAAGCACCATTTCCATAATCTTACCAGTAATTCTTCTAATGTCAGTCTTTACCATAAATAAACATACTATGAGATGTCTCATTGTGATACCCTGGTATCAGAGTAGTGAAAATAAAACAGCATTCAGAAATTTTGCAACAGGATATAACCATATTATATTAATAAAATATTATACAAATATTTTATAATTTAAAATAAAATGTAAAGTATAAGTGAAATATAAAAATATATTAACTAAAAATAACTACATCATGACTTGGAAAAAAGTATATAGTTAATTACCATCATAATGCCAGTATAATTAATCCAACAACCGTGAGGTCTTAGTTATTTTTTTCTGAGATCTGAAGTAAATGATGGTTGCCATGTTTCTTATAAAAGTAGGAAAACAAAATATTTTTTTATTTCACATGTTTAGTGGTATAATTTTATTTTAGAAGATTTAAAAATATTTGTGATTAAATTGAGCTAGTTTTTTTTCTGCAGTTGTAGCCTTTCATATGTGAAAGCTTTTTTTAAATGTCAATTTTCACTGTTAGCCAATTGATAGATTTGTTTATCCTAAAGAACCATGGGGTAGTCACAATAGATTATCTTAATTATAATAGTGTTAACAATTGTTAATTACATTATAAACTTTAACTTTTTTTAGGTACAGTGAAGGTGAAATTCGATTTAACTTAATGGCCATTGTGTCTGACAGAAAAATGATATATGAACAGAAGATAGCGGAGTTACAAAGACAACTTGCTGAGGTTTGTGACCATGTTTTTAGGTGCAAAGTTCTAGTTTAGTTGTCTCAGGGAAAGTATTCTCTCTCTCTCTCTCTGTCTTTGTTCTTTCTCTTTCTTTATTCTTTCTTTGTTTCTTTCTCTTTGTTCTTTTTCGTTTCCTTCCTTCCTCCCTCCCTCTCTCTCTTTCTCTCTCTCTCTCTCTCTCCCCCTCCCTTCCTCCCTTTTTGATTTAATTAAGTGTCCTGAGTGATGATTAAGAGAATACACTCTGGAGTCAGGCTCCCTAGATTCAGCTCCTGGCTTTGCCACTTAGCGGATGTATGAATTGGAATATACTTCTTTGTGCTTCAGTTTCTTTCATTCTTTCTTTCTCTTTCTTTCTTTCTTTTTTTGTTTCTTTCTTTTTTTTCTTTCTTTCTTTCTTTCTTTCTTTCTTTCTTTCTTTCTTTCTTTCTTTCTTTCTTTCTTTTTCTCTCTCTCTCTCTTTTCTTCCTTCCTTTCCTTTCCTTTCCCTCTCTCTTTCTCTCTCTTTCTTTCTTTTTTGAGAGAGAGAGCAAGCACGTATGTGTGCAAGTGGTAGCAGGGCAGGGAGAAGGAGAGAGAATCTTAAGCAAGCTCCATGCAGAGCATGGAGCCCACGAGGGGCTTCATCTCATGACCCTGAGATCATGACCTGAACCTAAGTCAAGAGTCAGTCGCTTAACTGACTGAGCCACCCAGGAGCTCCTGCCCCTGTGCTTAAGTTTCTTAATGAAAAATGAAGTTAATAGTATTTACCTTAGAAAGCTGTTGTGAGGATTAACTGAGCTAATATATGTAAGCCACTTAAAAAACAGACTGACAAATATTACATGCTAAGTAAGTGTTAGCAATTAACTATTTAATTTCATTATTATAATTAAGCAAGTTAGAATATATTTCTCAGAGAATTAAGTGGGTACATTTAGATTTACATGTAATATTTACTAGTCTATATAATTGATTTTTTTTTTGTAGTAAATATGATCGGAGAAGATAATTAGTAATAGTACCTTTTTTACATTCCTTTGATTGATGACATTTTCTTAATAGCATATTTAAGCAAATTTATTTTATAGCTAAGCAAAAGATTGTAGCAATATAGTATTTTGCAGTATAGGTTTTTTTTAGATAAAAATTCATATGTGTTATTGTAGAACATAGAAATATGGGAGGTACTACTTAGGGCTTTTGTCCTTTAATATTGCAGTTAGACTGGTATTCTGTCACCAATATTAAGAGTAAAATTTGAAAATAATTGTACTGTGTTTATCATTTTAAAATATTTTGGACTCAAGCCTCAATCATTAGGGTATGCTGTTCCTTTTTCTTTACCCTAAGGAGGAACCCATGGATACAGACCAGGGTAATAATATGTTAAGTGCTATTCAGTCAGAGGTTGCCAAAAACCAGATGCTTATTGAAGAAGAAGTACAGAAACTAAAAAGATATAAGGTATGTTTTCTTTTTTTTTTGTTCCTTTGTTTTAATATAGAGTAGTATATTTTGACATGAAGGTATGTTGAATATTTGATTTTTTCCCCCATCATTTACTAGTTTTCAGAATAATGAGTTGGTTCCTTGGCACCCCACAAAGGTAACTAGGAGGTTTCTTTCTTTTTAATTTTTTTTGAAGTATCATTATGAACAAATTTTTAACCTATTTGATGTTTCAGTTCACTGCAATTAATGATGATCAAATTGTCTTATCTTTGGCCATTAGGATCCACTTCAAGTCCTAAGTCCTTCTGATATGATTCTCTTCATCTTTGATAGCTTCCTTGATTTCCAGTATGACAAGATGGTTCAGACTCATCTTGTCCATTTTCTACTGCAGACTTGGATTAGCCATTTTTTTCAAGAAGCCCTGGGTTCTTTTGTTGGGAAATGTTATTTAGAAACCACTATTTGGATGCTCAGTGATACTGATTAGTCATTATGTCTAGGCCTTTTCAGAGCTAAGAAATACATTTTTGTTTGCTTCTTATTTTAGTTTTGAAGAGAAAATAGAATGTGAATTTGTACAATGTGAATTCAGTCTTCAAATTTAGAATTAAAGGGCTTGGGGCACCTTACTGGCTCAGTCGGTAGAGCATGTGACTCTTGATCTCAGGGTCACGAATTCAAGCCCCATGTTGGGCGTGGAACCTACTGAAAAAAAAAAAAAAAAGAAAGAATTAAAGGGCTTTATACTTGAAGTTAACCATTTGCATCTCTTCTCTTAAACTGTGTGAGTTTGGAAATGGTAGTTATGTCATTTCTCATGTGTATCATAGTAGAAAAAGCATTGTTACTCATTTGAAGCTCAGTTGAAGGCAAGGATCGTCCTTTTTTCTTTTTTATTGCTCACCAAAGCATTAGCATAGCGCTTTGTATCATACTTAACAGCCAATAAATGACTGTTAAATAAGTGAACCTTGAACTGGTACGGTTTCTTCAGTTGGAAGTGGTAGGGGCTGGCTCCAGAGTATTCCAAGTTAATGGAGATAGGAAAGTAAGGGATGAAAGCTTGAATATTTATCTTCCATTTTATGTGGTATACAAAGATAACTACCCATCACTTACATATTCTTAATGCAGGGTTATTTCATCACTAAGTTTTAATATTAGCCTAAAGTAAAACACAAATTAAGTTTTCAGAATCTTTACATGCTACGTTGCTTGAAAATGCTTGTTCAAAAAGGTGAAATGATTCTCTTACTGCTATAAAATGAACATGTGTTAAGATTTTATTTAATTCATTAATTAATTGAAGGAATCTGTAGTCACAACTAGTTCCAACGAGAAGTTAAAGCAGCTCAAGTTTATATGAAGTAAAGGAATGTTGAAATGAATTTACTGAAGATGGGAACTTTTTTTTCTACGGGAGAAGGGAAGTAAATTGAACCTCTACCAGACAGAATATTTAATAGCTCAATGGCAGTGAGAAACTAGAATCACGTCACTTGGGAGGGTGCTCTAGACAATGCATAGTTTTCACCTGAAGCACAGATCTTTCCCTATAGTCGATCTTCTTCATTAAAAGTTATTCAGAGAAAGATTATTCTTGATCACAAAATAAAGCTGGTTTCATTAGGCGTGGCCTGATTATTTGCATAGTTGTAGTAAGAGTATTAATTTATCATGTGGGCTTCTTAAATTTACTTTCATCTTAAGTTTTCATAAATAATTTTAGACTTTTAAAAGTGTTATTTGCTAAGCCAAGAGTAGGAAGCCACACCCAAGAAACTCTCACATGTTTTATTGTATTAGTCTTTATTCTCAGTGGGGATGGAATCTCGTTATTTCTAATATTTTTTCTTATGAGAATGGAAGGTTTTCTCCCATTTCTATTTTGAGTTGGATGCAAAGATCAAAATATCAGAAACTTAGTGGAAATGTAAAGTTAGTGTGGTTTGATATTTGTTTTATTTTCAGATTGAAAATATCAGAAGGAAGCATAATTACCTGCCTTTCATTATGGAATTATTAAAGACTTTAGCAGAACACCAACAGTTAATACCACTAGTAGAAAAGGTAAGTATTTTACTGATGAATACTTAGATTTAGATTCCCCCAAAACAAGATGCTTTTTTGGTTTGAGTAGAGGTAAAATTGGTTGAAGCAGTCCTATTTTAATTTTTTTTGCATTTATCTGTTGTTGTATATTCTAGATGAGCATTAGTTCAACCTGATATTTTTTTTAGTTCAGCCTGATATAAAATCAAAATAAGGAATTGTCCCATTGCTTTAGCCTTCCCAAGTCCTTAGTGTTAAGAACTTAGGTTGTACCTCGTATTAGAATAAAATTCAAAATTTTTCCTGTCTAAGCTGAAAGCAAATTTTTTTTTTAAGATTTTATTTATTTATTTGAGAGAGAGAGAGAGCAGTGGGGAGGGGCAGAGGAAAAGGGAGAGAGAATCTCAAGCAGACTCCATGCTGAGTGTAGAGCCTGATGCATGGGGCTTGATCTCATGAGCCTGAGCTTATGACCTAAGCCGAAAGCAGGAGTTGGACACTTAACCGACTGAACCACCCAGGCGCCCCTAAGTTGAAAGCAACTTTTTAATAGTAACAGTTGAAATAATAGATTCCTTGTTATTTAATTTAGGAAAAATTTGAATTATCATAGAATTTAAAACTAGAATGGACATTGAAGGGGGAAAAAATAACTATAGCCTAGACTAATAAATGGGTTTTTTATTCATTCCTAAGCTAGTATTCTTTCTGCCAAAGAAAAGCTCACATAGGTTTGTGAAAAATTCTGATTTCTAAGATTTTTTTTCTTCAGTATAAGACACTTAAATATTAATTGCACAATTGCAATACAGTTAAATTGTTTTTAAGTTTATATTGTAAATCAGTGTTTCTGAAAGTGACCATCACTGGATACTCTTTAAAATACATGTTACCTGGCCCCTCCCCAGATATTCTGATATAGGGGAAGGAATCTTTAATAAGTTACCCCAAGTGACTCTAATGCAGCTGGTTTGTGTACCACATTTTGAGGAACACTTTGAGAAGATACTACTAGGCAAATAAAAGTTTGGACCATTAACTTAAGAGCAGAGTACATGGTAGGTATGTATTTCTTATTAATTTTAAAGTTTCTGAAGCAAAGATACATTTCAACCCAGCCTTTTTATATCATCATAAATAATAGGAAATGAGAATTAAGGTTTTTGTGTATACCTTATTATCCAGATCCTGAAACGTGTGCTTCTGCTTTTAGCACTAAGTGCACAAATTATTGCAGAAAACTGCTAAGTCTTCTCTTTTCCATACAGATTTTCTGTTCATGTATCCCATGGTGTTATTCTAAGATGGGAAACTGATTTTTAAAGTTTTAGATGAACAATTAGGGTTCTGTGATTCTCAGAAGTTCCTAGATACTGTGTTCTTTGTATGAAACACTATGAAATATTTCTCTATTAAAAATATTAAAATAATAATATACTGTTGTGTTAAATCATATGATCTGTTGCATCAGATTTTAACTATAGATAAATATTACTAAAGGCCAAATGTTATTAGAGAAATTTAAAATGTATGTATTTTTCTTTAAAATTGGTCTGTGAATAAACTTTTTGGTGCAAATTAGGAAAACGACCATTCTTGTTTGATTTTGAGGACAATATATCCCCAGATATTTTTGTAGTTGGAGAACAGGCATTGAACTGTAATTTCTTACTTCACATTTTGGACACAGTGTGGCAGTATATGAATGCCTGGTGTTAGTGGGACACCAGCTCAGTGTGTTCTTGTGTTTACACCTTTTTTTTGAAGGGATAGTTATTGATCTACTTTTGCCTATTTCTTCAGACTACTCTTTGATTCATGATATTGCATAAGCAATATTGAGGTTACATTTATTCCTTGTGTATATACAATATCTGTTATCCCTTAAGGAATTCCCTTAAAGGAATCATTCTGTTATCCCCTAAGGAATATCCCCTAAGGAATATAGGGAATTCAGATGCATTATTTGATTAAAATTTTTGAAATTTTAAGATTATTCATCAAACATTTATCTAGCTGTAAGTATATTCCAGGACTTCTTAAAGTCTATAGATATATGTATAACTAAGATATACTCTTCTCTCTTAAGCAGTTCATGATACAGTTGGGGAAAGGAATAAATAATTACAGTATTGTGCTGAATAGGATTGTTCTGATAAGTGCCAGAATCAATACATGCTGAAAGTCCTGGGGGAGCACAGGGTGGCTCTTTAATAGCCTTATGCCACTTGAAGTTTCACATCCATAAAATTTTAAATCTGTGGTTAGAATCAAATGCTTATTCTCTACCAATAAATCAGCTTCCTTAAGCATAAATGTATTTTGTTCATCACATTTTGAAAAAAATAAATCATTATATCATATTGAATATTACTTTCTGCAGATAAACATGTTACAAATGAAAAAACAATAATGATGAGATTTTATAATTATATACAATACAAAGGCTTTAATAGTGATAATTGCTTAATAGTAATACTTCTAAGAAAAATAACATGTAGAATTCAGAAATGGATAAGTTGAAATTACTAAGAAATTAATAAGTTTAACTGTTCCTCCCCCGACCCCTCAGTCCCCTATGCCAAGGGAAAGTAGAATAAAGGAACAAAGTATAAAAGAGGTAGAAAGAACCAAAGAGGAAAGATGTGGCTACTCTTGGCAGTGGTGTAAATGCCAACCCTGTCCAGGATCAGATCTCTGAGTAACTGAGGTAGTTGGTTAGAGCCTGTGATGGCATGAAAGTATTTGAATTTGAACATCTTTTTATTTTACAGAATAATAAAGAAAAGATCAAGACTTTGATTCTCCTGAGGGCATATGGCTATAATGAATTAGGTTAAGATCTTACCTTTTATAAGTATTTTTGTTATATGAGACTTCTACTCTTTTCTGAGGAGTTGAATATACATTATGTAATACCTGCTTGGGAAATAACCTAAAAATACATAGCTATAAAACTTCTTGTGCCCTATAGCAAATCTATTTCTTAACATATAAAATCAGCTAGCTGAAGATTTCATTTGTGAAACTTTTACTGAATTCAGGTATACTTAGTAAAATTCTTTTAATATTTTTACCTTAACCTAGTAATTCTGGATCATTGTCTATCCCAGGTTTTTAATAATCACCAATAACCTACCATAATATAAAATCATAGAATCAGTTGCTGTGGGATTCAAAGCACCTTCAAAATACTGAATTTTGTCCACATTTTACTAAGACATTATAATTCAGTTGGTAATAATCTTTAGGACTGGGGCGCCTGGGTGGCTCAGTCGGTTAAGCGTCTGCCTTCAGCTCAGGTCATGGTCCCAGGGTAGTGGGATCGAGCCCTGCATCGGCCTCCCTGCTCAGTGGAAAGCCAGCTTCTCCCTCTTCCACTCCCCTTGCTTGTGTTCCCTCTCTCTCTCTCTCTGTGTCAAACAAACAAATAAAATCTTTAAAAAATAATAATAATCTTTAGAACTTACTTTTTCTATTCCTTAATAGAAATAAGGTAGAAGAATAGTTGGTATTCACAATAATACCTACATTGATATCTCTTATTACAGAATTATCTGATTTGAGTCAGTGATTTTTGATGTTTCATTGACATACTGTATAGAAGGTAACAGTGTACCTTTTTTCCATGCTATGTAGAAACGTAATATTGTTTTTTTATTTATAACAAAGGCTGAACAGAATACAGCCTTTTGGTTTTAGATTGCTGGTGCGAATTTAGCTGGTGCTTTTAGGCAAGTTATTTGTTTATAGTTTCCGTTTCTTCATCTATAAATTAGGAATCATACCTACTTCACATTCTTGAGGACTAAATATCTATAAAGTACATAAATAAGTGCTCAATAAATGGTGGTAATTATTTTTAACTTATTTCACTTATTCTTAACTTTATCTGAATTATATAGTTTAATAAATGTATGTACACTCTCTGTATTAGATGTCTGCTCATTTAATTATATTGTAAAATTTATGTCATAAACCACTAAGTTTATTTTTGTTAATCCTACTAAACATTCTGTATATTCAGAGTATATTCAGAGATCAATATGGGAAAAGTACATATTTTTATTTCAAATTATATCTGAAATTAAATTGTATTTTTATTATTTGGAAACAGAACTTCTTTTTTAAAAATCATATACATATCAAATTATAAATTATGCTAACCAAAAATGTTCATGTAAATTTTATTTTATATGGTACATATAATATTTTGCCTTAATATATTCTCAGGCATAGCACTTTATTTTATCATATAGTTGTATAATAATTATACTACCTAATACATTATAAAAATATTGTAGTTGTAATTACCCTATTTTTTAATCTAAGGAAGTTTTTATTCTTAGTTGTGTGATAACAAAACTCTATTTGTTCCTTTCTGATTCAAGTGGCATAGTAGAAAGAACATTATATTCTAGTACTCTAAAATCTTATTTCTCAAAAGTGTCATCTGAGGACCAGTGGAATTGGTATCCCCTAAAAATTTGTTAGAAATTTAGAATCCCGGGCGCCTGGGTGGCTCAGTTGGTTGGGCGACTGCCTTCGGCTCAGGTCATGATCCTGGAGTCCCTGGATCGAGTCCCGCATCGGGCTCCCTGCTCGGCAGGGAGTCTGCTTCTCCCTCTGACCCTCCCCCCTCTCATGTGCTCTCTCTCATTCTCTCTGGCTCAAATAAATAAATAAAATCTTTAAAAAAAAAAAAAAGAAATTTAGAAGCTCAGGCTTTTTATTGAATCAGCATTATAGCAGAGTCCCCAGGTCATTGGTCTGTACGTTGAAAAGCACCACTATAGGACAGGTGTCTTTTGACCTCTTGAGGTCCTATTTTATACTAGCTGTGTGACTTTTGTCAAGTTTGAAATCTATAAGCTGTCTTTCTCATCTGCTGAAAAATAAAATAGAATTACTGGGTTCAAGCTATGTAATTGTTATGAGGATCAAATGAAATAAGGTAAGAGCATTTTTTAAAAAGGTTCTGTAAGTAATGTTTGTTAATACTACAGACATGTGATCCTTTACTGATATTCTGTTAAACTCATTCAAACATGCAGAAACTAATATAAGATTTTTCTTATACTCAATTTGAATGAGAAATGGGCACATATGTAAATATATCATTTTGAAGTATTTATGAATGAGTATGACTTTGTGGCATGAGTAATTATGTATATTTAAGTTATTACAATTATAATAATATATTTCAACTGCAGATAAGAAAGAACTGTAAACCGAACATGATCCTTTTTTACTGAGGGCAAAACACAACTATAATTTGTCCAGCAGTAGTTTGTTGCAAGTCTTGAGTTATGAAAGATAATACTCTAGAAATCTTGAAAACAATGCATTTCAAGCCTTTTAGCTTAAGAATGCCCACTTACACACATTTTAACGTGATCTAAAATGGACTTTTAAGATTTTATAGAATACTATCTTTAACTTCTAGGCAAAAGAAAAACAGAATGCAAAGAAAGCACAGGAAACCAAATGAAGAAGATGCTTTGGGATGTATACACATTTCTGCTTCTGCACTTATTTTCATGGAAACGATTAAGTATAAAGGACTTTGAGCATCATCCTAATTGACTCAATGCACGTTTGGCAATAGTACCAGTCTGTCTTGTCTTTAATGCATGGATTCTTTCCCTACCTGCATCATGTGCATGTAGTGCATATTAAATAAAAGTGATATTCAGAGTGCTTGCCCAAATTCCATTATTTGACATTGGATCTGAGAACTTCTGCTGTTGGTTCTGTGGATATATACTATCAAATGAACCTAGGAATTACACAAATGTTATTCTCTACCTGTAATTGTTATAATTAATCTCTCAATCTTTTAGCTCAGTTACATGCTTAAAATTTATGAATGTCAGATCTTGATTAAATTAGATCTCTTGTTTCTCCTCATCATTAATGAAAAAAATCAGTATTTGTGTATGATATCTAAACATTTTGAGGATTTTAAAACTGAATTTTATCTTGAGAAAGTATGGTTTTAATGCAGATCATTTGAAAAAGACAAAAGTATAGTTTCTAGTGATTTTTATTGCTGCCAGTAGAAAAAGTAATAAACATTCAGTTTATTTTAGCCGACTTTCTTTAAGTGTTTGGGGTTATTTGTTATTAGAATTATTTCAGGAAGGTGTGAGTATTATGCTTCAAAGCAGAATTTCAGGTTAAGAACAAATGATAAATCTTAAAAGATTTTTGGTGTTACTGTCAGTCTGGCAACATTTTTTAGACTGCTAAGCTGTATCTTTATAAAAAATCAGATGTTTGACAATTTAGGCTATCTGCTTTGTTTAAAAAATGCGATGTGGTGGTGGAGAATTCTTCTATGCCAATTTGAATGAAATTGGTACAGCCCAATAGTTTCAAGAACCATGTACAGTTGGCTCACAATGGAATTTTTAAAATTACTTTTGGGAGTTGCTTGGTTTTTTTTTAATTTTATGAAATAATTGTATTCTTGCTCCTAATCTTCTCCAAGTTAAACTTTAAAGGAGATTTTATGGAACTTCTTTTTATAAAGGAAATAATCTAGTTTTTTTTCCTTACTAGATACATTTCTGAAATTGATACATGACTTTTTTTTTCAACAGTTTATTATGGAAAAGTTTAAACATACATAGAGCGACTGCTTATTCATCTTCTAGCTTCAAACACATGAATTTTTTAAGGATTATTTTAAATCTTACTACATTGTGGTATTATTAAATAACTAATGTGAAAAAATCTGGTGGGAAATTGAGTAGAAAAATTAATGAAATATTTTTCATACATAATTTTAGATGAAGGTAATAAAGAATTTGTAGTTTTTCATTTGTGGGTAAATGTATTTTGCTCTGGATACAATAGTAATTATGGAGTGCTTTCAAATCCATGATACAATTTTAAAAAGTGATTTCTTAAGGATTATTTTAGGCTCATCTCGATCCCATGCAATTATTTCAACTTAATTTATATACTCTGTTTTGTTTTGTTTTTTTAAGATTTTTTTAGTTTGGAGTGATCTCTACACCCAACGTGGGGCTTGAACTCACAATGCCGAGATCAAAAGTTGCACACTCCACTGAGTGAGCCAGCCAGGTGCCCTTATATACCCATTTCATAGAGGCTTAAATTTCGTAAAGCAATACAAGGAATATTATAGTCAGTAGTATCCAGTCATCAAGACAGTGTGACACTAGCATGAGGATCAACAACAAATCGATCAGTGGAACAGAAGAGAAATCCTATAAATAAATCCACATTTATGTGGTTACTTGATTTTTGACAAAGGTCGCAAAGCAATCCAACAGAAAAAGAAAGTCTTTTCAATAAATGAGGCCAGAACAGCTAAACCTCCATGTGGAAAAAAAATGAACCAAGACCTTCCTCACAAAAATGAATTTGAGATGGATCATTGACCTTCATTTAATAGCTAAAGTACAAAGGTTTTTAGAGGAAAACATAGGTGAATATCTTTGTGACTTGAGTGTAGCCAAAGGTTTCTTAGGTCACAGAAAGCAATAACCATAAAAGATCCAAAATCTGTTTATAAAAATTAAAAACTTGTCATTGAAAGATGCTTTTAATAAGAATAACCAGTATCAAATGACATTAAAAATAGCTTTATAAAACTGTGTTAATAGGTATAAGGATATTTTCTTATAATCTAATTCTAATAAAATTCTTTGATAGGAATTTCCATAGCTTAAGAACGGCTTATTTTATGTGCTGCTTCTTTGGATAATTGTAAATGCATTGTGATCCTTCATGATAATGTTTGCCAGTGAATAAAGAAATATGACTTGTCTTTGTCTGGGTCTTGGTCATGAAGCTGGTGGGTAGAGAAAATGGATGAATGAAGAACAATCCAGAAATATATGTTAGTTATGTGGGAAGTTTTTTCTTTTTTAAAAAGGTGTATTGAAAGGAGCATTTAAAAGAAAGTCTCCTTTGTTCATTTCACTTTTGCCCTTTCTTTTCTGAAATCTCATTTAATGCTTGGATAGGTGAAGGCACTTCCATTCTGTTCTGTGCCTTTTAAAATAACTAGCCGATTCTAAGCAATATACTTTTGCTACCATAAACAAAGAAAGCTTGCCAGCAGCTGCTGCACTGACTAGTCTCACCTCATGTGTTTAGTTCCCAAGGTAGCTGCCCTTTTTCCAGCAGAGAGCAGTCTGCTTGACTGTGCCACTGGAATAGACAAATACTTGTTCTGAGATCGTGAACCATGGGGACTTGCTCCCCTATTTAGACCATGATACATACTTCAGTGTGTATTATGGTGTTACATGCAGATTAATAACTTCAGTTAATCTAGTTGCCTAAAACATTTCAAGATACATTCAGAAATCACTTTTTTTCCCCCCCTGTAGGAGTATTTTGTGTCTTGCAGGGGAGAAAAGCTTTTAAGGTTTTTCCTTTAAAAAATTTGAAGAAAGATAAGCAAAAATAAAATTTAAATTACCGATCGTTCTACCATCAGGGATGACTACATTGACATTTTAGTGTGTTTAGTGATTCTTTTTCCCCATATGTGTGTGTTTCTGTGTGTTAGTCTTGCATGCCCTCCCCATATGCCAAAATAGGTTTATGTACTATAAGTTATTTTTAAAGCAGATGATATGCAATTTATCATCTTTGTAAATTGACAACTTATTCGCAGGAAACAAACCACTCCCGCTATTTGAAGAGGAATGGGGATTAATACTGAGCATTTTGAAAGCTACCTAGTTTCTTACAAGGTCATGGGAAGATATGGAGGAGTAGGCTCAAGTTTGGGTTTCCAGGAATGACTCCCAGCAAAACCTATGTTACTGGCCCACCAGCAGAACTGCTACATCTGCAGCAGTCAAGGGTTCACCATTGGAGTCCCTGATGTTAGGACCTGCTGCAACAGCTGTGGTCTGGGAATGAGGAATGTGCTGCAACTGTGTGTTGTATATATATATATGTATATAGGGGCGCCTGGGTGGCTCAGTCGTTAAGCGACTGCCTTCAGCTCAGGTCATGATCCCGGAGTCCCTGGATCGAGTCCCGCATTGGGCTCCCTGCTCAGCAGGGAGTCTGCTTCTCCCTCTGACCCTCCCCCCTCTCATGTGCTCTCTCTCTCTCAAATAAATAAATAAAATCTTTAAATATATATATATGTATATAGTATATACATATATATATACTAGAACTGTAGGAAAATTCAACCTCTCCATGGCTAAGCACTCAGAATAGTGAAAGCCACTTAGAATAAATTCTGCCACTCAGAATAGCTAAAGCAACAGTCAGATGGCCTCCGCCTTTTGACTTTCAAAACTTATATTAGGTTTTCTGCAAGGAAATCTAGGAAGTGAGTTTTTAGCTTTGCAGTCTCTGCAGATTATTGCAGTCTCTGCAGGCATTCTAGGAGGGGGCTGGCAAGTCCACTCAATCACACATTATTACATTCTTCTACAGTAACAATTTTTTCTTTTTACAGAAGTAATACATGTTTATTTTAGAGAAATGAGAAAATACAGAGAAAACATATGAAAATAAAATCTAATCCTATTACCCAGAGATAATCACTGTTAGCGTTCTGATGTATATCTCACCAGAGAATGTGTTTACACTCACACATGTAATAGATATTTTTGCTTTTATGAAAGAGGGATTACAATTAAATATTTTGTTGCATGCTTCCCCCCCCACAAACTTCTCATATTAATAAATATGCTTGTATCACATCTTTTTTAAATGGTTGCTTAGTATTCCATTATATAAGTATGCTCTATTGTATTTAACAAGGCCCTAGTAGTGTGGAATAAAGCATAGAAATAAAATGGGCAAACTGGATAGTTTGATTTTGGGGGGAGGAATTTATTTTTTAAACTGACATGAATTCCTAGATCTGTCAAATATGAATGTTCTTCAATTTGTTCTTTTCCTTAACATGTGATTAATTGGCTTAAATCCAATGACTGAGAGGTCAAAGAGTCACCACTTCTAGCATACCTAGTACTTTTTATTTTTGACTTTATATTAATGTCTTGAGAACTTTCTTTGATAATTTATCCAACATATATCTGAGTTGTTCTAGATGCTGGAGATCAAGACCCTGCCCTCAAGGTGAGAGGCAATAGGCAAGCCTGTATAATACAATTTTTCAAGTACTGGTAAGAACTATAAAAAAAACAGCAGGCCAAAAGAATGGAGGGAGGTGAGGTTTGATGGGATGGCCATGGAAAATACCTTTAAAGAGATGATACTGAAGCAGAGATCTAAATGAAGAGAATTTTCTCTGTAGTACTGACTCAGCACTACAAAAGAGGATTGCATACAGGCAGAATCAACATGCAGTAATTCTGAATATTAATTTTTAATAATGTGTGATAGTTAAATGGTTTATGAAAGTTGATTTGGGGTGATTTTGATTTGATTTTTAATATGAAAATAGGTTGAATAAAAATTACATGTAGGAAATGCTAGGACCACTGGCCTATGTGCTTTTTTAGGCTATCCAGATATTCTACATAAACTTATATAACACTTTCTTGTAGCAATGTAGTATAATATTGACTAAACTATAAAATTAGTGGGAAAAGTCTCATGCAAGTATATTTTAAAAACAATTTGACATATACCATGATTAAAGAAGTAAACATGAAAACTAAAACAATGAAGTTATTAGAAAAATATGGGAGGATATTTTATTATTTCAGGATAGAGAAAAGCTTCCTAAGCAAGCAATAAAACATAAAAAAAAAAAAAGAATCCAGAAGAGAAACACTTGACTGTATAGAAATTTCTGTACAACAAACACCACAAAAACTTAAAAGCGAGACAACAAAATTTCATCATACATAACAAAATTAATATGTATATTAGAAATATAATTAATATCTAATATACAGAGAGCTCTCCCCCAGGAGAAAAATTGGCAGGTGATATGAACAGGCAATTCACAGAAGGTGTTAAACAATGGCTAGTGACATTGTAAAAGATGGTAAATCCACTAGTGATCGAGAAAATACAAACCAAAATTTAAAGAGATGCCTTTTTCCTGTCAGATTATCAAGAAATTGAAATGCTTGTAAACATCCACTTTACAGTGCGGGCATAAATGGGCAGGCTGATGGACCAGTGGTAGAAGTCTTTTTGAAAAGCAATTTAGCAATTCTCAAAATCTAGATGGTACATGTCCTTACAATAATTTCACTTCCAAGAACCATATTACATACGTATTCACACAACTATATAAAGACTTATAAGAAGATTCATCATAGCGTTATTTGTAATAGCAAATAATTGGAGACAACCTAAAAGCATAGCAAGAGGGAATGGGAAAATAAGTTATAGTATGTTGGAATACTATGCAAATCACTGAAGATAATGAGATAAATTTCTACGTATTAAATGGAAGGACGTCTGTGATCCTTTTTTGAGGAAAAGGAAAGCTACACTATAGTGGTATAGTATAAATACATTTTCTGAAGAAAACTCTTACATGTGTATACATGAAAACAGAAAAATATTTGAAAGTATCACATGAGATTCTTAACAGTTAGTAGCCCAGGGGCTTAGAAGTGGAAGGGGGAATTTTCCATTTTAAAGTTACAGGTTTCTGACATGATAGAATTTTTTCCTACCAGAATATATTACTTTTGTGTTCTAAACCATATCAATAAGTTAGCCAATTATTCTTGTGACAAAAGTATTGTCAGGATTTCTTTCAATAAGAGCTCCCTAAATGCATTTAAATATGAATAAAACATAAATGCAGCATATATATATATATATATATATATATATATATATATATATATACATGTATAACACATACATTTGAGCAATATAATTATTGTGTAATCTAAGGCATACCTATGTCTTCCTAGCAATAATACTGGTGTTTATGGGGTACTCCCCACTGGTGGCTATTCTCATAGCAGTTTATTTTTTAATTAATTTTTTGTACTTTCAAGTTTTTATTTAAATTCCAGTTAGTTAACATATAGTGTAATATTAGTTTCAGGAGTAGAATTTAGTGATTCATCACTTACATATAACAGCCAGTGCCCATCACAAGTGCCCTCCTTAATACCCATCACCCATTTAACCAATCACCCACCTACTTCCCTCTAGCAACCCTCCGTTTGTTCTCTATAGTTAAGAATCTGTTTTATGGTTTGCCTCTCTCTCTTTTTTCCCCATGTTCATTTGTTTGTTTCTTAAATTCCACATATGAGTGCAATCCTATGGTATTTATCTTTCTCTGACTTATATCACTTAGCATAATAGTCTCTAGCTCCATCCCTAGCATTAAAAATATTTTATTTTACTTTGTTCATCTTATGTATGTATATATGTATGTATGTATTTAAATCAAGTCATCTATAACCAGGTTACTCAAAATTGTGGTCTTCAGACCAGCAGTGTCAGCATCACCTCGGAACTTGTTAGAAATGCAGAATCCCAGGCCAATGAAATTAGAATCTGCATTTTAACAAAACGCCTAGTTAATTCCTGTGCACATTCAAATTTAACAAGCACAGGCTCATTTGTTATATTTATGGAAATACTGTTTTCATAATCAGTGGATATTGTACTATATTTTCTGCACTTAAGAAATTGATCTTAGGATTTTTGCAGTTTCAGTAGCATTAGAATTAGTAGGTTTAGAAAATTGATTAGAATAAATGGTGCTGGGAAAATTGGACAGCCACATGCAGAAGAATGAAACTGGACCATTCTCTTACACCATACACAAAGATAAACTCAAAATGCATGAAAGACCTAAATGTGAGACAGGAATCCATCAAAATCCTAAAGGAGAACACA